CATAAAACCCACTAACATATTTGGCGTGATATCTGAGGAATAGCAGGCATCCACAAAAGATAATGCACTGAGGAGGCAGTACATGGGGTTATGGAGTTGGGTATCTCCAAAGACTAAAATAATTAGTCCTACATTTCCTATTAGAGTTAAAAGATAAATTCCTAGGAAGAGAAAAAAGAGAATGATCTGCAGCTCAGTGTTGTCAGTGAGTCCCTTGAGAATAAATGCAGTAACTTCTGTGATGTTCTTCATGTCAAAATTTTATGAAGCAATATTGAAGATACTCCTTTTCCTATTCACAGTCCTATGAAAACAACAGAAAGTAATTTGAGACAATGAATATATATCATGTCTTCATATACTTGATGATCTAGAAGAAAATGGCTACCTGGTGGTATATTTATATGTGCCATTTACACACAATGAAATAGAAGGTACTATTGTTTTGTATTGTGGAGATGGACTCATTAATTAAAGTTCTACTGGGAGAATGCAACCATCACTAAAATTTAAATGACATTCTTCACAGACTATTATAAAACAATTAAAAATTCAGATGAATAACAAAAGCCTCTCTCTGAACAGTACAAAAAATGTTCTCAAAGAAACATTTGTGAAGTTATCACAATAAATGATCTTAAACTATATTAAAAACCTATAGTATCAAAGACAGTGTGTACCACAACAACATACATATGCAAACCAATAGAATAGAGATACAGAAAAATTGTATATATATATATAATTGTAAATCTTGAAAAAGAAATATATGAATTAAGAGGTTAAATAGTTCTGTTCATCAAAAGAAATAATCATCAGAATGAAGAATATCTATGTCCTGGAGAAGTCTTATATTTGCTCACTGTTTGTCACAGAAGGGATTTTTAATAACTAGCAATTATACAGAACTTCCATAATGAAATGTCAACAAATCAAGCTATTCAAACAAAAAGTTGGCCAAACACAGGATAGACAGTCCTCAAAGACAGAAAAATAAATAAACAAAAATTAGTTAAAATACTTTTCAACCTTCTTAGGCCAGAAAGAAGATGCAAATTGCATTGATTTGAGATTTTGTCTCAACAGAGTTGGGTGACTATCAGCAACAAAACAAAACACATCAGGTACTAGAGAAATACTTAAAACACCCAGTGGGTGTAGAAGCACATGCAGCCACTATGGAAATCTGTATGAAGTTTCAGAAAAAGGTGACGGTTGCCTGCAATATAATCAAGTACATTCCATTCATGCTCCTACATCTCAAAGAGCTCCAGGTCCTACCATGGAGATAATTGAACATTCATGTGTCTTGATTTACTATTGATAAAAGCTAAGAAATGGAGCCTGTCTAGATTTACATTAGCATATGGAAGAATAAAGAAAATATGGTGCATATACGGAACAATATTGTTTTCTGTCATAACTAAAAGTGAAATCATATGTGAGATACGGAGGGACAATGAGATGAGTATGTTCATCAAAATGAACTATATTTTGCAAGGTGAATACTAATATTTGTTTTCAAACTCATAACTTGGATTTAGATCCAATTTTGTGTGTGTGTGTGTGTAACTGTGTCTGTGTGTATGTTTGTGTACCTAGAAAAGAATGCAAGTGACAAGAAAACATCAAAAGAGACTATTGAGATAACAAAGAAACCCAGAAACAGATAATTGCACGAAAATGTATTTGGAAATCCATGACATATGTCAATAGCACTTCTGTAAGAAAAGATAGGTGGTGAGATTGGCAAAGGCTGGGACAATTACAGTTTGTATACATGTAAACCTTAAAAAAGAACTCATGGGATTAAAATTACTCCTTAAAAAGAGTGATGGAAACATGATATCTACGATAAAATTATAACTTCATATAAATGGGTTTGTTTGCATGCACTTAAGTATGTATACATTTTTGTAATGATTTTTAAGCAGAATTTTGACCTAAATGTGCTAGCATAGATAAGGTAAAATCATGTTTTAAAAATAAATCATGAATAAATGGTTTTTTAGTGTAACCAGAAGTTACAAGAAATTGTCAGGTTTGCTGCTAAACAATTCAGTGAAATATCTATCTTAAGAGGTGAATATAGGATATTACAAATGAAAGTGTGTCTTAGTTTCATACTTCATGAACATAGTTCATGTATGCTGTTAGATGCTAGCCATGGTTTCTCTCAAAATGTGCTCCTCTTTAAAATATTAATATCTTTGAAAAACTAAATTATGTGATACTGGATGGCCAAGTATAATTACTGTTATATATTATATATTATGGAAGAAATATGCAAGGAGGTCCTGTAACACACCAGATGGTGTGATAAATCAAGATTAATATGAAATGAGCTTTTGGAAGGATATATACTAATTTGGAAATTATTTAACAATAGATCTCAAAAAATATGTATTAAAATGATGTCAAAAATATGTGAGCAAAAATCAAAATCATCTATCTAATTCTGCAACTATTCATAAACTATATTGATTATTAATATATTACAATCTCATTCTATCAGAATTAGATCCAATGTATTGCATATTATATTTTATTATTAATCTTATTCTCTATTTTTAGATTATTTATTGACGAACATAATTTTGAAAATGTGTAATATGCTGTTATTATCACCACCACCACCCCTGGGCACAGATCACCACTATTTACTTTGTTACATAACAGTGAATTCAAATTGTTTTGAGTTAATATAATTGCAAATATTGAGCTGTTGAGACATTGAGCTGCATCAGTCCTAAGGTAGGTCTATGTTTGTTGACCAGGAAGAATGCACAAGGAAAAGATGGAGATTTGTAAAATTAAAAAACATCCAATTCTTCAAGAATTTAATAATGTTTGATGTTGGTTGTACTATCGCTTGCCTGACATCTTAAGGCAAGAAAATTGATGTGAATGTGAAGTCATAATTGGCAGCATAGTGAGTAACAAGTAATACCCTGGACTACAAATACAAGGTAAATATTTAAAATGACTACAACCCATCATCAAAAGGTCAGCCTTGAAAACATACATACAGACTATGTGAGTTGTACTTATGTATATAGAAATATATCAGTATATATGTATATATACATACATATATATATATATGTAACAGCTATCAGTAAAAAAGAGGCCATAAACATTAAAAAGAACAAGGGAGGGGAGTTACCTTTCAGGGTTTTGGGTAGTAAAACAGAGGGAAAGAAATGATATAATTTCAAAAAAAAATAAAAGAATTTCAAAATGTTGCAACTCATATCTCTAAAACGCAACTTAAATAGGAAACAGAAAACTCAAAATTGCTTCATTATATAAATTGTATAAAATTTTTGTTCGTTCACAGAGGAGTTAAAGAGAACATTATTGTTGTTTTATTTGCATTTCTTAGATTATTGATACTAGAGAAGCATTAGCAAGAAGTAGTTAACCAAAATTGATTCTATATTATAGGAATATTCTTACTTTATTTCTCTAAGTATAGGTCCCCTGATAGCAAATAGATTGAGTGAGACCTTTTGATCCATTGTTTTCACTCTTTAAAAAGGAATAAAAACGCATATTTAATTTTGAGCTTTCTTATTTATACCCAAGTTCATAATCAATATTGTCTTGTATATTTCCCATAGTATCTTGATGTTTTTTACCCCTTAGATGAAATTTAATATGAGGTATGGATAAATATATTTTATTAATCCATAAAATAATCAGTAATTGAAAGGGTATCACATTATGTAAAATAGCCAAATTTGTGCAACAAAAACTTCTGATACTACAATGTAATTCTCAAAAAAAGTTCTTCAAGTGATCTAAAATTTCTCTTACCGGTGGAGTCAAAAAAATTCATGTTCATTGTGCAAACAATGTGGTTAACTTAGAATGTTTATATCTACTGAAACAAATGCTGATGATGCCCCAAGAGATGAGGCTGTGGGAATATATGCCAATTAGCTTCTGTTTGAAAATGCCAATGTGATGATGTATTTCATAATAAAATGTCTAATATCCCTTATTAGGAAATTAGAAAAACTCAATGGTTGTCATTATATTTAATACCTTAACATATAAATATATCTCTTTTTGAATGATAACATGGAAACTATTTGAAAAGGTTGGATTATTGGTAAGGATATCTTCAGAGATGGGAAACTCTGACATATCCTTGCAACTTTGTCATAAATTTGACTTATCTGAAACTTGATTTCTTTGCACTTGTAATACAAGATGTTTAATATTGTAATTAATTGGTAATTATGGTGTTCTAAAATTATGTACAAATCATGATTTTATTAAATATCTGATAACACAGTGAGTGAAAGAGTGCTTAGAGTTTTGTATGGTTGCATATAATATAAATATGATCAATTTCATCACTTTTACTCAATGTAATACTACAAGTATCCTAGTATTATATACAAAGCCAGCACATAATATCGTAGCAGTATACAATAATATAGTATACTATATAATATTGTATATGTATATTATATATTATTATATATGCATATTATATTATGTATGTATTATAGTATTTACATAATACACACATACTAGTAACTGTAGTCAAAGCAATCAGAAAAGACAGGGCAAAAGAGGCCAATAAAATTAGACAAGAATATGTACAAGAAACAAAACGCAGTGCAGTCTACAGAAATCAATAAATTTGCTGTGTTAGTACTAAATGATCAAATATAGATCCAGTCATAATACTTTTTAAAATGCTTAGATATAAATTTAAGTAAATCAATTAATTTGATGTGATTACCAGTGAAAGTTATTCCTTAAACATGCAACAAATGATATTCTCTTGGCTCATCTTAAATATTCTATGAACATTTTTAGTCAAGATCTCCATGATATTACAGGTAGTGGGACTTCAAGGATGTGTTTGAACCTCATGAGATGATATATAAGGTTTAAAGAGATAAACATAAACAAATATTTCTAAATTTTCCCAAAATGAGACCACAAGCTCAGGCAAATAGAAATAAAATGGTAATCTACAGATGAAACAAATATCCAACAAAATTTCTTTAAATAAAAATAAATGCCAATAATCCAAGAAATAATATATAGCTTAGGAACTGCTACTACGCCAAACTAAACGGCTGCATTATATCCAGTCACATTGACAATGAATTAATTTTTTTTTTTATACATCCTGGAGACTTTGTTTTCTAGGTGTTTTAGGTTTTAGTATTATATATGGAAAGGTTATTCTCTTTACATTTTTCAATACCTTAATGAGATAAAATTTGATCACATTTGCATAAGCTCATTTGTTCTGCTCCCTCTAAAGGGGTTTCTGTGAATGTTTTTTACTTAACTTTCAATCACTTTTTTGTTTCCTTCTTGCAGAGATCCAAGAATTATCGGATAATCAGACATGTGTCTCCTAAATACTGTGCATCATTATGTTTTCTTATATGTTTATATTTTATTTTGATATCTATATCATTTTCAAAATTTTTAACGAAATATCTATAGTTTTATATATATGTATATACACACACATACACACACACACACACACATATATATATATATATATTTGAACACAGTAGATCCAAAATTAGATGTGACCTCATAGAAATAATGTGATTGACGATTGTATACAACAATCAGTACCATAATGTACTAGAACAATGCATATATTGACCTATTTTTTCTGTTAAATTATCATCAAGTTCATGGATTTATATATTAATGATTAATATGCATACGATAGCTCTTCCATTCAATATTTATGTAGCCATAACTCATAGTACTTGGAATTATAGCATGTCAAATATTAAATGAAATTTGTTAGTAGGCATTATTGGATGGCTATGAAAGTTGATTACAATTTATTATTGCCTGTTGTCTTAACATGAATATGTGTGCAAAATTTTAGACTAATAAAATAGCTTACATTTCCATGAAAATGAACTGGGTACCAGAGAATTTGTGCAAAAATCTAATTACTTTTGAATCTGTTAGTCTTCTCTGATTCATTGTATTCACTTTAGGATCATACTCATTTCTTTTCATAATGAAATATCACATCATAATATCCATTCTTGATTAATTTCTCTATCTAGCAATTCATTGCTCAAACGATCCCCTTGAGTACTTTGAAATCATAAAAAATCAACTGTGTACTCACTGTCCCCTAGAGAATCAGTGTTGTCTCTTCTGGAGACATTCTTCAGGCTTTAAGAAGAACCCAAGAGCCTGGTGTGAAAATCAGTCAGATACATATTCACTGCCTGCCCTCTCTAATTGAAAATACATTTCGAATGTAAGGCAAAATTTATTTTGTTAAGTTTTTAAACAAATTCTAATTTTGCATTTTAAACTAGAGAATATGTCTTAATGTGTAATTGTAGGGTGGGATTCTGCTCAGCACAATGTGATCTGACAAATGAGACATTTTTCTCCCAGAAAGCATAGGAACAATTGCCTGTTTACATGGGTCAAGAGAGTTATTAATTCATATTTTTTTTCATGATTTGATTGAGAAAATAACATTAGGAGTAGTAAAATTGTATGACTAATCCATAATTTGAAACATTATAGAATACAAAAAATAACATTTCCAACAAATATTAATCTAACTTATGTAGGTTTTGTTGAAGTTAAAGGATTTTAATGAATTTGAAAATATATTTATTCACTTTAAAACACTGATATAATGGTCAACCCAGTTTTTTAGCATCTTAATTATTTGTTTGTTTCCTTAATTTTATGTACTAATTAAGCTTAGTGACTTTGCTGTTTTGTAATGACTGTGAATTGTTCAGATTTACTACCTAGCTCTGTCTCAGTTTTCTTCTCAATGCTGAATGATGTGTTTTACAGACTATCCCACAGGAATCAGAAGACAATACGCACACAATATGCCATTCTGCTAGCATATTAGCTTAGGTGTTTTTTGCTGTCAGTATACTTTCTTCATTATCTTTTCATTTCTAAGTTATTAAAGAATGTATTCTGACAGAGAGTTGAGAATCTGATTTCACTTTTGTCTTAGAGATATGTTTATCTTTTGAGCACCTCTCTGGGGATATCAGGTAGATGTAACTAACAACAAATCCCCATTGCCTAAACTAACAATTCTCATGATCAGTGAATTGTATAGTGCAAGCCTTCCCTGACTGGCCCAAATGTAGTATAGGCTGATTTTTCTTTGATCAACAACTCCTGTGATAACTATATCAGGTAATGTGATATGGTATTTAAATCTGAGGATTTTGTTTATTGGATAAGAACTCTTGCCTATTCAGAGAGAAACCAGAAAATATTTCTGAAATAAATATACCTCATAATATATTCACTTTGCATGCATATCGGTCATTTTAATTGAGATTTCTGTTATTTATACTATCAGATAGAAAAAGAAATGTTATGAATGTGGCTCAATATGTCGAATCCTTGTATAACAAATATGAAACCCGCTGGGCAGTGGTGGCACATGCCTTTAATTCTAGCACTCAGGAGGCAGAAATAGGCAGCTCACTGAGTGATATCAAGGACAGATTGGTCTCCAAGGTCTAGTTCTCGGACAGCTCAGGTTATTATGCAGAGAAACTCTGTCTAAAAAAACAAACAAAAAAAGAACAAACAAAAACAAAACAAAACAACATAAACAAAACAAAACAACAAAAAATCATCTCAGTTTGAGACTCAGTATCACAGACAAACAGACATGATGGCAAATCCTTGTAATTCTACAGCTTCAGTGGTAGAAACAGAATGATGGGGCATTTGATGTCTTCCTTGACTATATATTGAGTTCAAGTCTGACGTGGCCTATATGAGGAACTTACACAATAAAGTAAAATAAAATAGTAAAGTATAGAATTTACAGAAGAAAACACCAAAAACCACACATAAGTGTGTTAAAATGCTTATTCTAAAAAGGAAAATGGAAAAACAAAAATCAGAATAAACTATCAGAATAACATTGAATCTGCCTTTATTTTCAAGTGAGATACACCTAATTTCTAGAATTGTTTATGTTCTATTACTCATCATTGCACCTTATGTCCTAATAGAATGAATTATCAAAAGAAAGGATTTGAAATACATTGCTTAAAAGGTGGCCTGAGTAAGTCTGAAATGTAAGACTATTGCATTTCCAAGTGTTTTGATAATGTTTTCTAAAAGATGTTCATGTTCTGCTGAGAAGATTCAATTCAGTCTCATTTTGGGTCATTGATTCCAATGCTAAGATCAAATCATTAAGGCACATCTTTCATTTAATTTTTTGTGTATCCAAATATATCTTTTTGGTTCCTGAATTTGAACACAATGTAATAAATATTAAAACTGGTAAATATATTAGGTTAAAAACTAAAATGATAAATAAATATAGTATTAGGTGATTTGGGGAACATGAAGTTAGCCAAAATAGAAAAAATAACTTCTTTAACTTTCTTAAACAGAGTAATGAATCGCCTCAGACTCAACTCCTACATTGCAGATGCTTCTACCAAGAACACGTCTCAATGATGCCTATCTAAATCATGAGCATGTGAATATGATTGGATATATACAGTTTTCACAGGATTCTGCCTTTCTAACATAATAACAAAAATATGTCAAGGATTTCATTTGATAATTATGTTCAAGTGAGCAATGTGACTGAGGTCACAGAGTTCATACTTACAGGCTTCACAAATAATAAGAACCTGCAACTGTTACTATTTCTTTTATTTCTTGCAATTTACATTTTTACTTTGATAGGTAACTTGGGATTGGTTTTGCTGGTAATTGGAAATCTGAGACTCCATAACCCCATGTACTATTTTCTAAGTGTTTTATCATTATTAGATGCCTGTTATTCAACAGTTGTCACACCAAAGATGCTGATCAATTTCCTTTCAAAAGATAAATCCATCTCCTATCCTGGGTGTGTAACACAGATGTTCCTCTTTGTTGCTTTCGGGAACACAGAATGCTTTCTCTTGGCAGCAATGGCTTACGACTGCTATGTAGCCATTTACAACCCACTTCTCTATGCAGTAAGCATGTCACCTAGAGTTTACCTGCCACTCATCATTGTATCCTATGTTGGGGGAATTATAAATGGTTCTGTCCACACAGGAGCCACTTTCAGTCTATCCTTTTGTGGATCCAATGAAATTAGACATGTCTTCTGTGATGTTCCTCCTCTCCTGGCTATTTCTTGTTCTGACACCCACATCAATCAGCTTCTTCTCTTCTACTATGTAGGGACTGTTGAGATCATCACTATTCTGATCGCTCTTGTTTCCTATGGCTTCATTCTCTTTGCCATTCTCATGATGAAGTCTGCTGAAGGGAGGAGCAAAGTTTTCTCCACATGTGGAGCTCACCTCACTGGAGTGTCCATCTATCACGGTACCATCATATTCATGTATGTGAGACCCAGTTCCAACTATGTCTTGGAGCATGACATGATTGTATCCATATTTTATATCATTATTATTCCTATGCTCAATCCCATCATCTATAGTCTGAGAAACAAAGACGTAAAGACTGCAATGAAAAAATTCTTTGAGAAAAATATTTTATGAAAAACTTTCACTTTTAACATTGAAGTAAGGTAAAAATAAGGCTCATTATTTACCCCTCAACTGTCCCTCACACTTCTCTTAGATCCAGGCAAACCTCTATTAACTTAAGTGTTTAATTTGTACTGGTCATGTGTTTATGTTTGTGAAGCTACTAATGGATGTCTGTGGCCCTAGCAAAACACATACCCTTAAAGAAAACTGAGACTCTCTGCATCAGAGATCATCAACTGCCGAAAGTTTCTCAACTAAGACTGAGGGCCTGTGAATCTCCTCTGCTTTCATGCCGATCTTCTGAAAACAAACAGAATTGCTATGAACTCATAAGTGCAGAGGTCCTGCTGTGTCCTGAGGATTTTGCTCTAGTTTACCTCTGCCTCTGGTTTCAACATTTTTTTAGCGTATTTTGTATTCCTGAGTCTTGAGGCAAGTGAGTGTAGTATAAAAGTGTCCCTTGTAGCTGAGCACTCAACAAACACATCTATGCACTTATCCTCTGGACCATGAAACTTATCTGATGAGATCTGAGAGTTGCACTAATTGATAGATGCAGTGATAGGAATTAATGGACAGTTTGATGCTGTCATTCTACCAAATTAATTGTAATAGGTCCTCTCCTGTGTCTAATAAGCTTCACAACCAACATTATTAGGGAAAATAAAAGAGTCGCATGGAAATTCACTATTATATAAGCTTCATACATAACTATATGTCTTTTTGTGCAAATATATAACACAAAGTTGTTGGCGTTACATTACACAGGTGAAAATAATCCTTCTAGAAACCATAGGTTGACACTGGCATTTGTGAGAAGGTTCCCCTTGAACTCTTGAGCAGGGGTGACCCAGAGACCCCCAACAATGTAAGCTATTGGTACTGTACTTCGTTCTACACCAGAACATGATGGTGAGAGCCTATTAATGCAAATATATTGGCCACAATACATAAAAAGCTAAACTGATACTGTCAGGACATTTCCTCCCTGTTTCCTGATGTGGGATTCCCCTCTGTATGCTGTGATTACCTTTAATGAATAAAGAAAGCTGGCTTAAGTCTACAGTAGGGCAGAACATAGGTAGTAGGGCAAAACTAAGCTGAAAGCTGGGATAAAGAAGGCAGAGTCAGGAGCAGCCATGGAGCCCTGCCGGAGACAGGTATGCTGAAACTCTGCTGATAAGCCACAGAAATACACAGATTAATGAAGATGAATTAAATTAATATGTAAGATCTAGCCGATAAGAAGTTAGAGCTAATAGGCCAAGCAGTGTTAAATTAATACAGTTTCTGTGTGATTGTTTCAGGGCTAAGCAGCTGGAAACAAAAAAGCTGCCTCTTAAAACAGAGTGAATAAAACTTTTTATCTGAGTAATCACTAAATATGCCATGCAGCACAGTGCAAGGCCTGGACATATCTCTGTGTATGGCAGCAGGAATCTGCAATGCTCTCCAGACTGTGTACTCCTAGCAGACTTGATCCAGCTTTCTGTCCAGACTGGGAGTGCTGAGCTCTGGGCGTGGTCTCAGCTGCTTTCCTCCCAGCCCTGAGTGGGCACATAAGCATCCAGATCTGAAGTGGGTGGTAAACAATAATCCCTCAAAAGAGCCAGAGAACGAACCAGAAAGCCTTCCTTCCCTTAAGGAAAACACACAGTTCTTGCCTTTAAAGCTGAGTCAGGAAACCTCTTAAAAGAGCCACATCTCTGTTTGCTGCTAGCAAATGGAGGAAGAAACTGCATTAAACTCTGTTCTATTTTGTCTAGAATTCCTCCCCAAACTCTTTTATTTTTAAGTGAACTTAGTTGGCCACATTGGTGCCAATATTTAGCAAATGATTTCTTATTCGTTTCAAGATGCCCAGACAACAAAATAACCACTCAGAAACCATACTATTTGAATCACTGCTTGGCCAATAACATAAGTGTATTGCTAGCCTGCTCTTAAATCTAGAATTAACCCATTTTATTATTTTATATTTTACCATGTTTGTGGCCTACGGGCAAGGTTCCAGCTGATAGCTCTTGTCTTTCCCCTCTGGTGGCTACATAGAGTATCAGAGTGTCATGACTTCACCTTCTTTCTCCCAGCATTCAGTTTAGTTTTCTTTGTCTCGCAGTACTTTGCCCTATCTCAGGCCAAGCCAGCTTCTTTATTCATTAACCAATAAAAGCAATACATTTACAGAAGGGCCTCCCACACCATCCAATATTGCTTAAACTGGCATTTTGAAGCTCATTCTCTTTGGAGGGATGCATTCATCAACGTAGATATAGAGGGGAGGGTCTTGGTCCTGCCTCCAATTGTAATGCCATATTCTGTTGATTCCCCATGAGAAAGCTTCCCCTCTCTGAATAGTGTATAGGGACCTGGGTAAGGAGAAGGTTTGGAAAAGGGGGGAGGAAAGGGAGTGTGAAATGGAATTGTTAAATAAAATGGGAAAGATTGTTTTAAAAAAAAAGAAGTCTTCTGCAAAAATCTATGTTATCTGGCTTCTTTTATTAGTGTTTTCTTTTTCTTTCCTTTCTGATTTTCAGTCCCTTTCACTTCTTGAATATTTTATGACTGATCAACTAATCTTATGTAGATCACTGGAATTATTACCCTTAGATTCTATTGCATCTTTACTAACACCTTCAGAAAATTTATGACTTATTTCTAGTCCTCCAGTATCCTACTACAAGTCACAATATTATAAAGTAATTCTATAGTTATCTTTTCATGAGCAACTTATCAGAACCAAGGGATCAGGTAAAGGCTGAATCAAAAAGCAAAGCTTTTTGGAGTTACTGTGTTGTGAATAAATGCTGTTCTTTGCTGTAAACTTTTCACTGTAGCTGAACTCCCTTTCTGTTACATATCTGGAAATAGATATTCACAGTTCAGAACCATTTTGTGTAAGCAGATTCCCACTTCTAGGCCTTTTTCCTCTCTCCTAGATAATCTCAGAGTTCTGTCTTCCTGCAATTATCTTCATCAGCAGGCATTTGGGTCCAGGCATAGTGCATCCCACTTAAGGTTTCACAGATTCTCAAGGACAGAATTATTACCTGCCCAAGCTGCAGCTCTGGTTTTACCCCACGTTTTATTCCTTGTACTTATGTTCACCTCAGCTTCCTGTCCATGCTCTTTCTGGGTTAGATATTTTGTTGTTTCCTTAGCCCCTAAACAGATTTCTATTCTTACAACTGATAATTGGTGTTGCTGCTGTTTCTTCTGCTGTTTCCACATGTCCTAGAATTGCTAGGGGAGCTGCTTCAACACCAGCATTGCTACTGCTGGGGTCATTTTCACTGCTCCTGCAGGTACAGCTGTTACCTAACCAACTACAGCTACTGTTCCCACTTCTCATCTTGCTTGTGTTATTTCTTCCTTGACCTGTTTCTGCTCTTATATTGTTGTCTTTCTTTCTGAATATACTGTCATGTTTATTTCTACAGGCACCTCATAGTGTTTTATAGACTGCACAGCAAAATGGCTCTACTCAATAGTATTTTCCCTTGCTCCATGATAACTTGAAGTTGTAACTGTTCGAAATTTCAGTCATAGCTTCCATCATCAGTGAAAGCAGATTACTCATTGCTGTCTTGATTTTCATGACTTCAGTTACAAAGACAAATGATAAACTCATTTTTATGTGTTTAACTCACTTAATTTATAAAGTGTTCATTGAACTCATTGCACACTTATGACTTGAGTATCTTGCTCATATTTATGTTCCCTTAATGACACTTATTGGTTTGGTTATGTATGTTTAATATAAGCGTTTACACTCCTTCCCACTTAGGTTTCTTTCTGTATTAAATTATACTATGTTTATTGTTTTAATGAGTCTCAATACATGTTTTATAACTTTATTATTTATTTTCTGATATTTTGTTTTTAGGAAAATATGTTCTAGTTCTGGAGTATTGATTAGTATCAGTGTCACTTTTTGTCTAAAATCAATAAGACTGGGTTCAATCCTGTGTGCTAATGTAGTATGTTCTTCACTACCTTTCTTCCTTTTAAAAAGACTTTATGAGTGTTTATGTTTATAAAACATGTTTTGGTCATATTCAGCATATCAGTTCTTACCAGATATGCCCATACTCTCTATCTACCTTACCTATCTGGTGTCCTGAATTGTTTGTTTTGAACGAGTCTCCAAGACAAATTGTTGCTGCACAAAATGTTCTTGGGTATCTTCCACTACAAGATTGTTGACTTATTAGGTCCTTCACTATTGGAGAAAAATGACTCTTCCGCACTAGAAGCTAACATTACTTAAATTTGTGTGTGTTTTCCATGTTTGGATTTTGTCTGGTTTGGTCTAGCACAGGTTCTGGGTCTGGTGTCACAACCACTGTGTCTGCCCCTCTGCCTGCTCTTCTTCCACACTGATCCCTGCTTTGCTGTTTCAATAATTATGTATTCATACTAATATCACAAATTCTGTCCATACCATTATCTTTGGATATTAAAAAAATTGTTTTGAAAAAGAATTTCACTTTGCAAATTGTTTGCATTCATATTTCTTTCTTCCTTCAGGGTTTTTTTGTGTGGAGAGAAAAGGAAGTATTATGGATGAGACAGAACATCCAGAGGCATTTGAAAGTGTCCAGAAAAAAAATGACATGGCCAAGACTACCCGTGGGAGAAACAAGAATAGCCTTCTTTTGATTGTCTAATGATGTTCCAAACATTTTTGTCCTAAACACTTTATGATTCACATATGCACTGGCTAATTTTTGTTCCTTTACCATGATGTCTAACTGTACCAGAAAATGCAATTTGTTTTACGTCCATCTGATCCAATACAAGTAGTGTTCTCTTACTGTGTATTTTATATAAACAGAATACTGTATATACATTTGCATCTTTTTAACCCTATCTAATACTTCTCTATATATTTTCATAATGTATGATGATACACAATAGGATCAAGTAGAACATCTAAATATAGTATAATAAGCTTTCAGTCAATTTTTCTTTTGTGTTAGTATGTGATTTTTAGAAGTTGTACATCA